GGAGGGGACGGGGACGGGGACGGAGCCCGGCGGGGCGGTCACGGGCAGGATGAGCCGCAGGGGCCGGGGACGGAGCCCGTCGGGGCGGTCATGGCCCTAGTAACGGTCACAGCCTGGGACGGCCTGGAGGGGACGGGGACGAAGCCCAGCGGGGCGGTCATGGCCCTAGTAACGGTCACGGCCCCGGGACGGGCTGGAGGGGCCGGGGATGGAGCCCAGTGGGGCGGTCATGGCCCGGGACGGGTCTGAGGGGCCGGGCAGGGCCCGGGGACAGCAACGATTGGGACAGGGACGCATCCAGGGAAGGGGACAGGTCTGAGGGACCGGGCAGGGCCGGGGACGGAGCCTGGTGGAACGGTCACGGCCCCAGTGACAGTCACGGCCCGGGACAGCCCTGAGGGGCCGGAGACAGAGCCCGGTGGGACAGTCATGGCCCCAGTGACAGTCATGGCCCGGGACGGGCCTGAGGAGCTGGAGACAGACCCCGGCGGGACAGCCACGGCCCCAATGACGGTCACGGCCTGGGATGGACCTGAGGGGCCGGGCAGGCGCCGGGGGTGGCTGCGATAGGGGACATCCAGGGAAGGGGCCGCCCTGACCCCGGGAACAGAGCCCCGTGACATGGTCACAGCCCAGGGACAGTGCTCAGCCCCGCAGATGGGCCGGCAGACTGCGATGTGGCCTTGGGAATGGAGGGAACATGGTCAGGGCAGGGGACAGGCCCTCATGAGGCAGGACGTGGCCTTGGGGACGTGTTCAGGGAAGGGGATGGGACCTGGTGGGACAGGACATGGCCTCAGGGCAGCAGTGCGAATAAGGCCTGGTGGCACAGGACGTGGCCTTGGGGACACGTTAAGGAAAAGGGATGGGATCTGGTGGCACAGGACGTGGCCCCAGGGGCAGTGATGGAGTCAGGGCCCGGTGGGACAACTCAAAGATTGAAGAGGGTGCTCAGCCGCAGGGACCAGGTCTGGTGAGACAGGTCCAGCCTCAAGGACAGTGAGATGGGTCCTGGGCTTGGGGACATGTTCAAGGAAAGGGACAGGACCTGGTACCAGAAATGGCACCAAGCCGCAAGGAGAGAAACTGGTGGGATGGGTCATGGCCCTGGGGACACGTTCAAGGAAGGGGCTGGGACCTGTCACCCTGGGGACAGCAAGAGGGACAGAGCCCAGTGGGATGAGTCATGTACATGGGGACAGCGCCCAGACGGGCGGGATGAGTCGTGGCCTTGGGGGCTTGTTCAGGGAAGGAAGAGGGCCTGGTACAATGGGTCGGAGCGATGGGGATGGTGGGACAGGCCATAGCTCTGTGACCACCATTGAGCACAGGGGACAGGGTCACAGCCCTGGGGACGGCGGGACAAGTTGTGGATCTGGAGGCACCATTCAGCAAAGGGGATGGCCCAGTCTGGCCCTGGAGACAGTAGGATGGGTCACGGCTCCAGGAACGCCATTCAGGGCCAGGGGCTGGTGGGACAGGACGTGAAGTAGGGGATGGTTGGGCAAGGGACAGACCCAGGGATGGCACTCGGTGACAAGGATGGTAGCAAACAGCCAGCTGCATGGAAGTAACCAGGCTTCTAAAATAAAGCATTTTATACTTGCTGGGTTTACGTAGAGGGTTGCTTCTCCTCCCACAGGAACAGCATAAAAATCCCACCCACATCTGAGTCTGCTAAATCGGCACATTTTCTGCTTTACACCTCTGTCTTGACTCTAAGGGCTTGAAAGCAAGAGCTCCAAACAGCACCCAGTACTAGAGAAAGATGAGGAATGCTGCGGTGCTAGGGCCAAAAGGCTTGGGGAGTACTGCATGTTGTCAGCATGTAGTGAATGCTGACTTGATCATGAATGCAGGCCGTTTCGGAGCGGTGCAGGCTCTAAGCACAGAGCACGCAGGATTTATCCTAGCAGGTAGCCACGTAGGTGCTGCGGGGCCGGCCGGGCCGGTGGGTCGCACCGTTGCCGTGCTGCAGCCTGCGCGGCGCCGGCTCTGCGGCCCCGGGCGCTGCCAGGTACAATCGCGACTTTGTCATTAGGCAAACTTCCCGCCTTGGGACTACAAAGCTGCTGAGCACTGCCCCACTTTAGTTAAGCACTGAACGTGTAGTTTACATCAGTGCTTAACCCACAAAACTGCGCTGTTAGCATAGACCTCTGAACCTGACGCGCTGTCCTGGTTTAACTCGAGTACCTGATTTGCACATCAAGCAGCCGGGCTTTAATCAGCCGGGTTTGTGCCGTGGCTTGTTACGCTGCGAGATAGCAGGAGCTCGTGGGCTGGCTTAGCGTTGAATCTCGTCTAGGGAAGTTTTGTTTCTGACTTTGAAGTTTAATAACAATAATAAATACTTGCTGTCAGCAATCCAGAGAGCCGCAAGGAAGACGTCGGGGCAATCTGGGTGCCTGTGTCTCCCGCCCCGCAGCGCAGCGCGTCCCGCGGCCTCCGGATCCTCAGCCCATTCCCTGCGCTAGGGGAAGGCGCCGGCGCCCGGCGGAGGGTCCGTGCCCGGGCTGGGATTAGGCGCACGTCTTGCTAGCAAGCTGCACAACCCGAAATAGGGTGTCGACCATGGGGAATGCTGGGCTCTATTCCTGGCTTAGGAAGCAGGCGCGAGCTCGCGGGCAGCGCAGACGCGATCGGAGGAGGGCCAAGGCGCCGCTCTGACATTAATCCCGAGAAACACTGTGCGGCGGGGGGGTAAGTCCTACTTCTGTTCTCTTAGAGTTGTAAGTTCTTTTTCCTGCATATAATTTGTGCGTTAGGTTTTGTAAACACAGAGAATTATATTTGGCTGCCTTTTGGGGCAGAATTATATTTGGCTGCCTTTTGGGGCAAGTTGCAAGGTCTTGTTCAAATAACAAAGCTCTAAAGTGCTCAGAACATAAACAGCAATCACTGGAAGTAAAACTGGTGAGCTAACATTTCTTGGCTCACAGTCCACTGCACGTTCCTCTAGTCTACAGGATATTTATGTTTCTTCTCTCGTCTGGGGAATATTATCCTGACTGGCAACACAAGAGAAAAGGCAGACAAATTGAAGCAGAATGCAAAATATCCTGCAAAAGTTGGTAGGCCGGTGCTCTTGAGAGCTCTGATGCAAAGGATAATTATAGATGAAAGTGCAGCGAGCGCGGTGGCGAGGGTTGCGAAATGCTCTATTTACTCGGGTTGCCTAGGAGCGGCGCAGACACCGCGCGGCCCCGGCAGCGCCGCATCCCCGGCGAGGCCGGAGCCGCGCGAGGATTGGAGCCGCCGCGCGCTCCGCCGCGGCAGAACCTTCCTTGCCCAAATAAGGTCCAGGAGCGGACGGGCGCTCGCCGGGCAGGACGCCGTGCACCGGCAACGAGTTGCTTGCTCCAAGCTGCAAAAGCTGCAAGCCCAGCAGGCCTGACCCTCTAAGGCCAAACAGTCTGTTTTAATTTATGTATTTATTTGAGAAAAACACTGCTTTGCAGCTTTCTCCACCGAATTCCTGAGGATCACAAGGCAAGAGCACCCTCTCCCTTGCAAGAGGGCCCTGCATCCAGAGGCCTATCAGTGCCTAGGACAGTGTTTAAGCAGGTTGTTTCTGTTTTGAGGCCAGCGGAGGAAATTTATGGTAAAAGCTCAGTGTTTGGACAACGCTAAACTGCAGCTGCCCTGGGGCATGTCCTCAGCCCGTGCAAATTGCTGAGAGATTGGAAGTACAGATCAAATGCCAGCCTTGCCTCAGATATCCTGTGTTATGACACAGCAGTTGCACAGGGGGTTGCAAATTATTTTCCAAACAGTAACATAATGCAGCGAAGTATTCCCGTGGTCCCAGAGCTGCCGTTTGGGTCTGTTTTCTTCCACTTTGGTTATCCTTCTTTATGCTCGAGCTGTATCATCATCGCCTTGCCTGGTTTGTACTGCACCTTGCTGAATGTGGCTGTGGGCTGTTATTAGGGCGCACAGGTGCTACAAGGAATGAATTTTAATGTTAAACGTTGAGTCATATTGATTACTATTTGTTGTAGGCCCTTGGCATACTGTAGCTGAAGAATGTGTGCCGTGACATGCTACACTGCAGGTTTGCTGTTGAGGTTATGCCCAGTCCTGTAGCTGCCAAAATCCACCTGGGCTCACCAAGAAACGCTCTTCAAGGCACGGGGGACTTTCTTTAGAGCCCACTTCATTGCCACTACCTTATGAGAGGCCTGAGCGGTCGGTCTCTGCAGAAGTCCAGCAAATGAGCCAAATCTGCTTCAATCCTACCCAAAATCTCAGAAAATCCAAATAATTTATTCTTCCATGCTAAACACGCAGACTAAGATAGCGAAGAAAAAGCCAAGCTTATGACACTGTGCACTGCTGTTTCTTGACAGAAAAGAGGCATGATGAATAAATATATAGCATATATAAAAGAATAAAAAAAAAATGTTTTTGCCCTGTTATCCTTTGCCTCATAATAAAAATCACCTTTAATCTTATTACCAAGAGGATTTCTATAGCTAGTTTAATTGCAGCAACAACCACATTATTACTTGCTTGCCAGTAACGTGAGTAAAACAGGCAATAAAAGTAAAGGTAACGCCTGAGAAATACGAAAACTACAGGTGGAAAAAAAAAAGACTTAATATTGAAAGACATCCATCTGGACAAAATAAAATAAGGTAAAATAAGACAAGATAAAATAAGGTAAGGCAAAATAAAGTAAAATAGAATAAAAACAAAACAAAACAAAATAAAAATAAAATAAAATAAAATAAAATAAAATAAAATAAAATAAAATAAAATAAAATAAAATAAAATAAAATAAAATAAAATAAAATAAAATAAAATAAAATAAAATAAAATAAAATAAAATAAAATAAAATAAAATAAAATAAAATAAAATAAAATAAAATAAAATAAAATAAAATAAAATAAAATAAAATAAAATAAAATAAAATAAAATAAAATAAAATAAAATAAAATAAAATAAAATAAAATAAAATAAAATAAAATAAAATAAAATAAAATAAAATAAAATAAAATAAAATAAAATAAAATAAAATAAAATAAAATAAAATAAAATAAAATAAAATAAAATAAAATAAAATAAAATAAAATAAAATAAAATAAAATAAAATAAAATAAAATAAAATAAAATAAAATAAAATAAAATAAAATAAAATAAAATAAAATAAAATAAAATAAAATAAAATAAAATAAAATAAAATAAAATAAAATAAAATAAAATAAAATAAAATAAAATAAAATAAAATAAAATAAAATAAAATAAAATAAAATAAAATAAAATAAAATAAAATAAAATAAAATAAAATAAAATAAAATAAAATAAAATAAAATAAAATAAAATAAAATAAAATAAAATAAAATAAAATAAAATAAAATAAAATAAAATAAAATAAAATAAAATAAAATAAAATAAAATAAAATAAAATAAAATAAAATAAAATAAAATAAAATAAAATAAAATAAAATAAAATAAAATAAAATAAAATAAAATAAAATAAAATAAAATAAAATAAAATAAAATAAAATAAAATAAAATAAAATAAAATAAAATAAAATAAAATAAAATAAAATAAAATAAAATAAAATAAAATAAAATAAAATAAAATAAAATAAAATAAAATAAAATAAAATAAAATAAAATAAAATAAAATAAAATAAAATAAAATAAAATAAAATAAAATAAAATAAAATAAAATAAAATAAAATAAAATAAAATAAAATAAAATAAAATAAAATAAAATAAAATAAAATAAAATAAAATAGAGCCGCTTCTCCCTTTGCGTAAGGAGATGGATGGTGTTTTCCAGAGCACGGAGAGTTTTTGCATTTATAAATTATGCCGAGGCTTCTACAGCTTAGGGGAAGTGTTAAGAGATCAAGTTACCCAGTTGCTGCTTTTATTTATTTATTTTATTTGTTAATTTAAGCTTGTTTCTTTCCATGAAGCTTGAAAACAAAGGGAAAAAAAGACTTTCTTTTCATGTGCTCTGCGCTCTGTCCTGCCCAGCCAGGCCCAGCACCACAGAACCGCAGAGGGGCTGGGGCTGCCAGGGCCTCTGCAGAGCTCCCAGTCCAGCCCCTGCACACGCAGGGTCACCCGGGCCCTGTCTGGTGGCCTCTGAACGTCCCCAAGGGTGGAGGCTCCGCAGCCGCTCTGGGCAATCTCGCCCGTACGGGGAGGTTTTTCCTCATGTTCGGATGGACCTTCCTGTGTTTGTGCCCATTGCCCCTCATCCTATCGCTGGGCACCGCAGGAAAGAGTCCAGCTTCATCCTGCCGACATCCTCCCCTCAGGTATTTGTGCCTGACGGGATCCCCTCTCGGCCTCCTCTTCCCCAGGCTGGAGGCCCCGCTCCCGGCCTCTCCTCCTGGAGAGCTGCTCCGTGTCCCGCTCCCGCCGGAGCCTTCCCTGCCGCTCCGCAGCGGCCCCCCGTCCTCGCCCC